CCACCACACACAGCACCGACAGCTGGAACACGCACCAGTACACGTGGCTGCCCTTCATGTTCGTCAGCATGCTGCCGTACATCCGCTGCTGCGCCGCGGGGTGCCAATACCCGACGGGGTACAGCAGGCGCTCGTGCAGCGGCTTCCTCGAAAACTGCCAGTACCTCGTGAAGCTCGCGCCCGTGTGGCGGGCAATCAAGTAGCACACGCCAGCAGGGAACGCCACACCGTACAGCACGCCAACGACGCCGACCACGCGGTGCTGCACGCGGGCGCCGGGCATCGCCAGTGCAAGCACGGAGCCGAAGAAAATGCCGAGGTGCATCGCGTGCGCCACGACGTACGTCAGGCTCGGGAAGCGCATCGCCGCCCACGCAGTCGCCGCGTCCACGCCGCGCCACCGCTGGAAGGCGGCCGTCACACCGCGGTGCACGCACCCGAACACAGCGGCGAGCAGCGCGTTGCCCACCACCATCCACAGCGGATCAAGGGCAGCGAACACCGACAGGAAGTACGGCAGCGCAGCGGTGCTCGCACGCTCCTGCGCCGAGGCGCATGACATCCTCGCAAACACGCCGAGCGCCTGCATCTCCAGAATGGAGCCCAGCCCGCCGGTCACCACCACGGCAACAGCCGCCGCACCCGCAACAACGCCGGTGATCGCCGAGAGGGCGTTGGCAGCAGCGGGCAGCGTGTCAGACCTGATCGTGAAGGACCCAAGCAGCACACCCTTGCAGCCGCCGGACACCGCCACAGCGTCGCAGCGAATGACTATCGTCTCGTCGGCACCAATGAAGTAACCGCGGTGCACGGGCACAGCCAGCTCCAGGACGGTGGACGGATTCGTCGCGTTGCGCACCCACGTCGCGTTGCGCAGCATCGCTCCCCACGGACCGCCAAACCCACTCGGTTGCGCCGTCAACACAGGAACGAAGCTCAGGTACGTGCCGAGCTGCGGTTCGCGTGCCCATCGAAACGGCGGCGGCAGCGCCACCATCAGCCGCGTCGGGACGGCGCTCCCACCGCCGCGGATGTCGTTCTGCGTCAGGCTCCCACCAGCCGCCGTCGTCGTCACAGCAAGCGTCGGGCACGCCACATCGCTCCACCACAACGTGCTGCTCACCGACGCCGTCGAGGTCCGCGTGGGCGACAGCGCCACCGTCTCCGTCACCTGCAGCGCCTCCGTCGGCCCGTACGGCGTCGGACTGTAGTGCGCTGCGCTCGGGCTCGATGTCGAACTTGGTGTCGGGCTGCGCGTCTCCGTCAGCGTCGCCGTGTGGCTCAGCAGCGGCAGGGCAGGCGTGCGGTTGCATCCGTCCACGTGCGGCAGGTACACCGGCAGGCAGTCGCGCCCGTACCCGCCCTCAGCACAGCGGCAGCCGCACGACCTCGACATCGTCCTCGTCGCAGCGGCAAAGCAGCTCACGTCGGCGTCGCACACGCCACACGCCACGGGGCGGAATTTCCCGATGATGCCGGCAGATCTGTACTCCATTGGCCGCAGCGCCTGCCCGTTGAGCGTCAGGCACCCCACGAC